GTTCTAGCCGATGATACTCCTCGATGAAGTCTGAATATTTACGCTTTCTTAAGCAATGGATTAGCGTTCAGGCGTCGCTCCAGAGCGAGAAAACGACGAGTGGCAATCTCTTTGGAGTTTCCGAGTGTTGAAAGGACTGTCGACCTTTTCGGAAGTTGAACTACGAAACGTCCTGTATCATCCCGAGTAGTTGTAGCTGCAAAATGCGCTTCGCAAAACGTTTCTTCAATGGATAGGGTACTGCTAGATTGACACGACTCTAGTTCCCAAAAGCGTACCAATTGATCTTCGAGCGAACTGATACTGCAGACGTGGACAAAGCTGATTGTGGGTGACGGAGATGAGCCAACCTTACCGGAAACGACCCATCCAAGTACGGTTTTCTGCAGCACTGGTAGATCTGGACCAAGACGTACCAAACCTTCTTCAACGAGTTCATAGTAGACCTCCATCCCAAGTGTCATGTCGATGGGACCAGGTTGATGGAAGGTAGGATCAGCGAAAACGAGATTAACTGGTATGCTCCCCTCTTGGGTGCTCAATGCCCTTGCAGGATCCGAGGATGATCCGAGAGCCGCTGAAAACGACGATTTGATTCCAATTATTACAATTGATGAACACTTGCAGTCAGTCTGGCGAGATTCTTTAAAGCGGGTACTCGTTGGTAACCATAAATTTTGTTTTTTAATGTGTTGAATTATCTTGAAATAAAGAAGTTTTATAACCGAATCAAAAATTTATTGAAATATCTAAATATCACAATAGCGCTGCCGGTGGTGTAAAGGTAAGCATGATTACCTCTCACCTCAGCTGGCCTGGGTTAAATCCCAGTCGGCGCCGCCGGGATGTTCTGAGGCATAACATCTCTTGATCACGCCTTCCTTCGGAAGGGAAGTAAAGTCGTTGGTCCCCGGTTCATGAGTTGATGGGTCGATAGGTAGGGTCCAGGTGTGGGAGCTGCCTCCCTGGCGTCAGTAGCATTGCTGCTCAGCACGAAAAACAGAATCGACGGAAAGCAAATCAAGGAAAAAAAATCACGAAATGAGAGGGATGACCTCGGACGGATCGTTTTTACTTAATGTGCGGAAAATTATGGGTTTGATCCCAAGCTCTCCATCATGGCTCTTCAAATGCATGATCACTAAACAAAATGATTATTTTATATCGAGAGATTAAATGAGTAACACTTAAACAATATATACTTTTGGTTGCATCGCCAAGTTGAGGCGAATCCTAACCGAATACCCTACCCAACCCTCAAATTCCATAGCACTTATGAGGGTGTCGCTAAGTCGGTGGCCTCTCGTTAAGTAAGTACTACATCAACATTTCCCTTCCCTATTACTAGTTATGGTAAAGATGGGCGTGGCCGGGAATAGCGACAGTTATGCTTCTGGTATTCTTATTTAGATTGGAATCAATGTTTAATCCCCAGCATTATACGCGAAAGTAGTCTGACTGAGGATTTCAAAAGAGTCGTGAGTGTCGCTAGTATCCAATCTACGAAGTATATCATAACAACGCTAACGCTAACGTTTTGTTATAAAGGGAAGGGGGAGGAGGTAAACATTTCGTTTTTGTTTTGCGTTACGTAATTAATGGACGCCGCCTTACACAGGTAACAATTTGATGCTTAACAAGTGTTCTTTCAACGATTTTAATTACGTCAAATTTAAGTTGAATAATAGCAACCGGAAGAAAATTATACAGCAATGCAAAATTGTAAACAACAAATGGTAACAGTAAAACATTCCTCTAAATATCAAGTACAGTAAACAAGTGCATATTTCGAAAACACAGAAATACGTCGCCGCAGTCCACTTCTACCTGAAGATATTCCTTAAAAGCACCTCTTCCTTGTCTCTACTGCTTGAGATTAGTAAGATAGGCAGTGAATTTAGAAAAACAAAAATGCCGGTACTGACGACACTTAACAATATTGTGCAATAGATTCATATTCTTCAATCAGGCTATCAAAATATTTGTAGCGCATTGCTGATATGTGGAGTACTGTTAAGCTTAAATAAGCATTGTTCAGTCTTTAGTTCAGCTTGCTTATTGAGGTTGAATTATGGGGATGCAATTCGCTTTATGCACTACTAATCAACTACCGGGGACCCCCGTCAATCTGTACGACACTGCGTGCATATCAACGGGCTTCATTTTTAATTTGAACAACTAATAACCCTACGGCCATCAGAGAAGCGAGCTTCTGGTAACCTTATTTGATGTTTTGTTTTGTTTCTGCGTTCCGTTTCGCAACGTTCAATTTCGCTTTTCTCTGTTCGCACGCAAGTGTGTGTTTTGAATGGTATTATAGTGTAGTGTTCGTGAAATCCGGTTTGGAGAATGTAACCCTCGTCCAGGGTGACAATTATAAACCACCCTTTTGCCGTGTTTGCCATGAGCGTGTGTCTTGTCTGTTATAATTTGTTTTTGTTTTGGTCACACGCTCGGCAACATAATCACCACTGCCTGATATGTAAATATTTTAATTTGTTATTTTCTTTGTAGATTTTATTCGGTTTTTTATGTTGTTAGTTTAGTTAGATTAGAAAAAAAATATCGTTTATTAATGTATCGCGTCTCAAATAAAATTAGGTCCGGTTTCTCCTCCCGCTGCAAAAGAAGGCGAATAACATAAACAGCATAAAAAGTCGAGCGCGGTTGCAGGAGGACGATGGCGTTTTTTTGTTTTTGTGACGTTGTGAAAGAGGAGAACAGTTCGAGCCACCGTGGAGTCTACGCGGGTTTTTTGTTCGGAGACGTTTTTTTTCTTAGTCCCGAGAAAACGGACTTTACCTGGGAAAAGTTTGCCCAGCCGCGACGCGAGTGCCAGTACGCATCTTCCCAGTGCACCGCGAGTGGAAGCCGGCCCCGTGGCTGCGAAAATTAGTGTTGTTGAGTGCAACAGAGTGTCGGATCGCCATTGTGGGAAGCTAAACACTAAGGAGCTAATCGCTTCCCCGGCTAACCACAAAGGATCCGGTAGACACTCGCCGTCCTGACTGCGGTGGCTCAGCCAATAGAGCCAGTCTCGCCACCGCAGTTAATCGTCAAGCAGGACGAAGCAGGCGATACCAGAGGTGAGTTCGCCTGGGCAGAAACACTGCGGTGTCTGCCGGGGTTGCCTACGGCGAGTAGGCAATCCGGTGATTCGTCACCAACGTCACCGGGGGGGGGGGTTCCAACAGACGAGTCCAGCTCATCCCCCTCGCTAAGTGTCAAGGACAGCTGCTAAGCAGCCGAATAAGCAAACCGCTCAGCACAGTCCGTGCTTTGTAGCAGCAGAACCGCCGCCATACCGTCGTCGAAGGGCCCCACCGAAGAGCAGCAGCAGCAACAGCGAGGAGGAGAGGGCAGAGATAAGTAGCGAATAGACGTCTAAAATTGCATTTCTTTTTGTTGTTTTGTCCCACCCAAATCCGAACGTCTTTGGGGGAAGTACCCTTGCTCGAGGCCGCCCCGCCGGGGTAAAATCGGGCCAGCTAAGGGCTGGCAGGTAAGCCGTAGCTTACAAGAACTCAATTTTTAGTTTGCGGTCAGATTACCGGGGGTTCACGGTATATATTCATTCTGGTGTTAATCAGCTTTTTATACCTTAAATCAACCAATAATCAGCTTCTGTTCTCACTGTTCAGCTTGAATTGTTACTTGGGTTCGTCGATTACGTTGAAGATTTATTCTAAATACACCTGGTTGATGATTGAGACAGTTGAATTGGAAACGTCAAAATGAGTACAAAGCCTTGAGCCCTACATTCGCCTTAAGGTGATTCCTTGTAGAGTCCACAAATGGCCGTTACGTAGGCACTTCCACTTTGAATTTTCAATTGTACAAATCACGGAAATCGGTGCCCCATTTCACCTGACATTGTTACTTCATGTATGCTGCTGTTTATCAAACGTGGAGTAACAATTTGAATGTTGCATGTGTTGTAGAAGCTGATATGTGTGCACTCAAAGTTTCGAGGTGTTTCCGAGAATAAGGATGCAACAGCGATTCACCTTAAGCATAGAATAATGCTTATGAAAGTCAGTAGTACTGGAAGTGCTGAATTGAAGCTGATTCAAGGCTATCCACTCATACTTGAGTACATTTTCAGCTAATAGTATTTGGAAATTCGAGAAGTTATTTTGAATCTTCTGAATTCAGCAGCATCGGAGGCAGTTCTTTCAGCTTTCTCGCCACTGGTTCGCATTCAAACATCCATCCACAGCGTGAAACCGTGAAATCATCACCTATTGAGAGGCAGCAATAATCCAGCACGCGAAAATCAATATTTCTGCACGCGTATTTTTATCTCGCCCATTTCTCACACAGAACCCACCTGTGCCGGCATCCTCGAGTTCTCCCATGCAGATTGGCGGGAGGGATTCTACCAAGGTGTTAGATGCCAAGTGCCAGCTGATAATCGGATGCTCAACCGGGCCCTCCTCACGTTTCCACCGATTCAAGCCGTGAATCGTCTGTTTGTATACATTTCCACTGGGGATCGAAGCTGCGGCCTGTGGCGTATTATATTTATCAATAAATTTCCAGTCAATAATAATAAAGTGTGTGAGTTCGCGAGTGCTCGCCTATCCCCCTGAACCGCCCGCACGGAACCGCGAGCAGCGACGACGATGTGTGTTTGTCTATGTTTACGCTGACTTTCAGTCTAATTTTAACCGCCGTCCAGTCGAAACGCGAAATTACGCGGGATTTTTTTCTGTGATTCTGCCAAAATTGGTTCGATTTTTTTGGTTGAGTTAAGGTGCGTGGTGAATTCGCTGGGAAATCATTTGGGGTGGCTTTTGGTTGAAAAAACGGTCAAAGGATCTATTTGGATAAGTGAAAGGCGGCCAAAATGTGAATCAGTGAAGAACTGGTCGTTAGGAGCCGGACCGAAACCAATTAATCGTGGCCAATACATCATATTAGCAATTGTACATTTGGAAATTGGCTTATATGACCAAATGGTCTTCGAAGAAATTTGCGGTAGCCATTTGAGCATAAGGAGAATTGGAATTAACAAGTGATTAAAATTATTAGAGCAAAACTACGAGGATATAAACCTCAAATTAATTGCCATAAAAAATTATACCAGTGAGCCATAAAAGTGAAACCCATAATCCCGTGTTGATTATCCCTAATAATCGTAAAAGAAGATCGCAAACAGCTGCCCGACGACGGGGTGTGATTACGTGTGAAATGGACATCAAATTACTGTTCACCACCTGCCGCAAATGACCGGCCAGGAGGAGATTCCTTCATTGCCAGGTTTGTCGTTGACGTCGTTCCCTTCTTGCAGCAGTTGAAAAGTTAAAAACAATTGGAAAACCAACAGAGAAAAGACCTTACCCATTAAATACCGCCCCGACCCAATGAACCCTTTCCACGCACTCTTCTTCATCCCGAGTGACCCGAGTAAAAATTGTCCTGATCTGCTCCAATCGAACTGACATTGAATGTAAGCTTTTATTCGGGCCAAACCGAGTCAATAAGTGGTGGCAAAAAGTGGCAAACAACACTTCGGAAGCTACGACCACCAGCGGGAGGCCAGCGGCATGTGGTAGTCCTCTGATAACAGTCGAACACAGAACACAGCCGGGGAAGATAACGGCTACGACTTGTACGACGACGACGACGACGACGATGGTTGCAGCTGCCATCGCCGCAGCTATCTCTTATCTATCGGTGGTTATCTATCGATTTTGTGTTTGGAATCATCGTCGGTCGGTAGGTTTCTGCGCTTCCAATATCCTCCACTTTAACCGGCAACCGAACGGAACCTCTCCGTTTGTGGCATTGTGGCTTTACGATGCGGAATTTGTTTGTCCCGCAATACATCTTTTGCCGAGCTTCTGAAGCTGAGTTTGGACGATCCTACTATCTCTAACATCGATAAGCAAGCAAGCGGCGCCAGTGGGATTCGCCTGTGGACTTAATCCGGTTTATTTACTTTTTGGGTTTAGGCAAATCAAAGTGAATCTTTCGATGCGGTTTAACGGTGTCAAGCTCAAACTGAAGCAAATGTGGCTTCCAGTGCTGTTATGGTAAATTTAGAGGACCCAAGAAATGTTCTCGACGATTTCCTGAAGTTATCGAAATTTTCCGCAAATTATCAGACCTCCTATAGGGTCTTTGAAATTTTTCGGATGTTTATAAAGCTGCCCGTAAGATCTCGAAACTGCCTTGAAGTTCATGTAAATTTCATGAAGATATCCAAACTTTTGTAAAATTCTCTATTGTCCCGTACAGGAAAGTTCATGACATTCTTTGGACCAAACATTAATTCGGCTTCCCTGAAGTCTGCAGTATTTCTTAAAAGTTACCATAGTTTTCCTAAAGTTAATGCCTCAATGTTTTGATCATCCCGGAAATTGCCTCATTTTTTTCCTAATGTTCATGGAGTTTTCCTGAAGTTCCCTCAATTTTTGTGGAATGTTCAGAACTTCCTAGAATATTTAGAACTTCCCTGAAAATATCAAAACAGATCTTAAGACCCTCAAACAGAATTGCTCTGAGGTTCTTTGATCCCTAATGTTCTCGGAATTTCTCTGTAGTTTCTGCGATTTTCCTGAAGATTTAGATACTGTGTTTCCTTGGAGTTCTCTGAACTTCTGTGAAATTCTTGAAATTCTTCCGACATTTTCTCAAGTTTTCTGGACTTCATAAATGTCGGGAACTTCTCAAACCTTCTTTCTATTTTCCTGAAAATCCAATGAACTGCCCTGACGTTCTCACCATACATGAAACTGCCCACCAAAGTTTGAAAGCTTTATAGAGGTTTCATAGCATTCTATAAGTCTTAATTATGATCTACAGAAATCAGTCAACAGAAATCAGAATTAAAAAATCAAGAATCAGAAACCAGTAATCAGAAATCAGAAATCAGTAATCAGAAATCAGAAATCAGAAACCAGTAATCAGCAATCAGATATCAGAAAACAGAAATCAGAAATCAATAATCAGTAATCAGAAATCAGAAATCAGAAATCAGAAATCAGAAATCAGAAATCAGAAATCAGATATCAGAAATCAGAAATCAGAAATCAGAAATCAGAAATCAGAAATCAGAAATCAAGAATCAGAAATTAGTAATCAGTAATCAGTAATCAGAAACCAGAAATTAGTAATAAGAAATCAGTAATCAAAAATCAGTTATTAGAAATCAGTAATCAAAAATCAGAAATCAGTAATCAGTAATCAGAAATCAGAAATCAGTAATCAGAAATCAGAAATCAGAAATCAGAAATCAGTCATCAGTCATCATTCATCAGAAATCAGAAATCAGAAATAAGAAATTAGTAAACCTAAATCAGTAATCCTAAATCAGTAATCAGAAATCAGTAATCAGAAATCAGAAATCAGTAATCAGAAATCAGAAATCAGAAATCAGAAATCAGAAATCAGAAATCAGAAATCAGAAATCAGAAATCAGAAATCAGAAATCAGAAATCAGAAATCAGAAATCAGTAATCAGAAATCAGAAATCAGAAATCAGAAATCAGAAATCAGAAATCAGAAATCAGAAATCAGAAATCAGAAATCAGAAATCAGAAATCAGAAATCAGAAATCAGAAATCAGAAATCAGAAATCAGAAATCAGAAATCAGAAATCAGAAATCAGAAATCAGAAATCAGAAATCAGAAATCAGAAATCAGAAATCAGAAATCAGAAATCAGAAATCAGAAATCAGTAATCAGAAATCAGAAATCAGAAACCAGTAATCAGCAATCAGATATCAGAAAACAGAAATCAGAAATCAATAATCAGTAATCAGAAATCAGAAATCAGAAATCAGAAATCAGAAATCAGAAATCAGAAATCAGAAATCAGAAATCAGAAATCAGAAATCAGAAATCAGAAATCAGAAATCAGAAATCAGAAATCAGAAATCAGAAATCAGAAATCAGAAATCAGAAATCAGAAATCAGAAATCAGAAATCAGAAATCAGAAATCAGAAATCAGAAATCAGAAATCAGAAATCAGAAATCAGAAATCAGAAATCAGAAATCAGAAATCAGAAATCAGAAATCAGAAATCAGAAATCAGAAATCAGAAATCAGAAATCAGAAATCAGAAATCAGTAATCAGAAATCAGAAATCAGAAATCAGTAATCAGCAATCAGATATCAGAAAACAGAAATCAGAAATCAATAATCAGTAATCAGAAATCAGAAATCAGAAATCAGAAATCAGAAATCAGAAATCAGAAATCAGATATCAGAAATCAGAAATCAGAAATCAGAAATCAGAAATCAGAAATCAGAAATCAAGAATCAGAAATTAGTAATCAGTAATCAGTAATCAGAAACCAGAAATTAGTAATAAGAAATCAGTAATCAAAAATCAGTTATTAGAAATCAGTAATCAAAAATCAGAAATCAGTAATCAGTAATCAGAAATCAGAAATCAGTAATCAGAAATCAGAAATCAGAAATCAGAAATCAGTCATCAGTCATCATTCATCAGAAATCAGAAATCAGAAATAAGAAATTAGTAAACCTAAATCAGTAATCCTAAATCAGTAATCAGAAATCAGTAATCAGAAATCAGAAATCAGTAATCAGAAATCAGAAATCAGAAATCAGAAATCAGAAATCAGAAATCAGAAATCAGAAATCAGAAATCAGAAATCAGAAATCAGAAATCAGAAATCAGAAATCAGAAATCAGAAATCAGAAATCAGTAATCAGAAATCAGAAATCAGAAATCAGAAATCAGAAATCAGAAATCAGAAATCAGAAATCAGAAATCAGAAATCAGAAATCAGAAATCAGAAATCAGAAATCAGAAATCAGAAATCAGAAATCAGAAATCAGAAATCAGAAATCAGAAATCAGAAATCAGAAATCAGAAATCAGAAATCAGAAATCAGAAATCAGAAATCAGAAATCAGAAATCAGAAATCAGAAATCAGAAATCAGAAATCAGAAATCAGAAATCAGAAATCAGAAATCAGAAATCAGAAATCAGAAATCAGAAATCAGAAATCAGAAATCAGAAATCAGAAATCAGAAATCAGAAATCAGAAATCAGAAATCAGAAATCAGAAATCAGAAATCAGAAATCAGAAATCAGAAATCAGAAATCAGAAATCAGAAATCAGAAATCAGAAATCAGAAATCAGAAATCAGAAATCAGAAATCAGAAATCAGAAATCAGAAATCAGAAATCAGAAATCAGAAATCAGAAATCAGAAATCAGAAATCAGAAATCAGAAATCAGAAATCAGAAATCAGAAATCAGAAATCAGAAATCAGAAATCAGAAATCAGAAATCAGAAATCAGAAATCAGAAATCAGAAATCAGAAATCAGAAATCAGAAATCAGAAATCAGAAATCAGAAATCAGAAATCAGAAATCAGAAATCAGAAATCAGAAATCAGAAATCAGAAATCAGAAATCAGAAATCAGAAATCAGAAATCAGAAATCAGAAATCAGAAATCAGAAATCAGAAATCAGAAATCAGAAATCAGAAATCAGAAATCAGAAATCAGAAATCAGAAATCAGAAATCAGAAATCAGAAATCAGAAATCAGAAATCAGAAATCAGAAATCAGAAATCAGAAATCAGAAATCAGAAATCAGAAATCAGAAATCAGAAATCAGAAATCAGAAATCAGAAATCAGAAATCAGAAATCAGAAATCAGAAATCAGAAATCAGAAATCAGAAATCAGAAATCAGAAATCAGAAATCAGAAATCAGAAATCAGAAATCAGAAATCAGAAATCAGAAATCAGAAATCAGAAATCAGAAATCAGAAATCAGAAATCAGAAATCAGAAATCAGAAATCAGAAATCAGAAATCAGAAATCAGAAATCAGAAATCAGAAATCAGAAATCAGAAATCAGAAATCAGAAATCAGAAATCAGAAATCAGAAATCAGAAATCAGAAATCAGAAATCAGAAATCAGAAATCAGAAATCAGAAATCAGAAATCAGAAATCAGAAATCAGAAATCAGAAATCAGAAATCAGAAATCAGAAATCAGAAATCAGAAATCAGAAATCAAAAATCAGAAATCAAAAATCAGAAATCAGAAACCAGTAATCAGCAATCAGATATCAGAAAACAGCAATCAGAAATCAATAATCAGTAATCAGAAATCAGAAATCAGAAATCAGAAATCAGAAATCAGAAATCAGAAATCAGAAATCAGAAATCAGAAATCAGAAATCAGAAATCAGAAATCAGAAATCAGAAATCAGAAATCAGAAATCAGAAATCAGAAATCAGAAATCAGAAATCAGAAATCAGAAATCAGA